TCAACTGTGCAAAACTCGTATTGTCTGGCTGGGAAGACTCCGGTGGTGATGTTTCTGGGGCGGGTTGTTCATCAACATCATGTACCAGAAGGAAAAAATGAGATTTACAACAATGGTCAGAATTATATTTATCATCACAATTGTAGCAAAGACCTTTATCACATCGAGCCTACATGTCGAAGGTAGAGAGATGCTTATAAGGGATTGCCAGTGTGGATGGTGTGAGTAATAATGGTAGTCGCGTCGCTGTGGAAGGTGGTGGCGAAACTGAGGTATATAGAGGCTTGAAAGGGATTACGTAGAACCAAATTTATCTTCCTACAATTTGGTCAACTCTGTTGCTTCAGAAAATGTAACGGGTTGACAAGCGAGAACTTCCCGTTGAATTTTGGGTCGCAATCCAGAGATGAAACACTCGAGCATGAATGATGGAGGCACATCGGTGGTACGATTGGCAACACTCTCAAGTTCTGTGAGATATTGCAGAATGAAACTGGTTTAGGATAATTTGTACAAACGACCTTTTATGTTGTGAAAACGAGAAGGGACAAATTGCGTTTCAAGGGAGTTGAGAAATTCAAGCCATGTGTGAAGCATTTTATTGCGTTTCATCCATTGGAACCAACTGAATGCAATACCATCCATGTAGAAAGGAAGGAGTTGGAGTTGTTCAACTTCAGAAATTTGATAGTATTCAAAAAATCATGTTACTGCAAAAACCCAATTCAAAGTGTTAGATCCATCGAACCGTGGACAGTCTAGGCGAATATGGGGCATGAATTTAGGTGATGGGGACTCTGTATGTGGGGTGGAGGGTTGGTTTAGGAGGTTGCAAAGGCCATCAATACGCTTATTGAGGCGAGCCAATTATTCAATCAGAAAATCTATGGAGACTTGAGAAGTCATTGAAAGCACCAAATGATAGAAGATGTAGAAAAAGAGACGAATTTGGTATTTCAAAGTACCAACATCCAGAGAAGACAATTAGGAATAATTCTTAATCATTTTCTTCCCTCCCAATGTTTCTTACAATAGTAGATATAAACAAATCTATCTTATAATATAATTCTACCAAATATGGAAACAAACATAAATACTAACAGAAATCATTCTCACTCTATATAATACATAATTGTAAAAGAAACTATTTCTTTTAGTGAATAAATTCATTATATCCAACTAACCTTGAAGTTTATCTAAAATTTTTCTTTACTATTAATCCATTCACATCATTCACACCAGTTGAGTTATTGGTGTGACTCATCCCACTAGTACCAACCTGTATCAATAACCATAATCATGAATACATAAATTAACTATGTAAAATGATTTTATCTTAAATTGTAGATTAAATTTGAGTAATGTGTTTTTTATTATGTTAAATATTTAAATGAGTAGTTTTTTCATCGTACTAGTTTTATATTAATCGAAAGCACAGTAATAAACACATATGTATGATTTATAAGTTGTTTTATAGAATGAATGTCTTAAATAATTATGTCGAGACTTTTTGAGATTTTAAATATATCGAAGACCATAATAAATAATTATTTGGTTAAAAGAGTTTTCATTTTTTTTAAAATAATTATTTTTCATGAGTACCATATATTTCATCCCAACCATTAAACATGACTAACATTCATCCTCACAATCATGTACTCAATGACATGATGGACGTCGATGATAAATCATGACAAGCATATAACTATTTTTAACTTGTCTTGTCGCACTATTTTTCTGGGAAACAATGACGAGCAATGCACTGCAATTTAACTGCAAATATTCTCATACTAAATTAAGTGCGTCAGATGACATTTATTATTCTCATTGGCCATCATAAATGTAAATAAATCATATCCATAGTTACATGATAAAAAAAACTGTTCGTATCAAATTACATTCTAAAAAAAAAGGTTATACTTTATTAAAATATAAGCCTTTGAAAAAAAACTAAATCTATAAAAGAGAAAGTACCATTTTAACACAACTGTGTTATCTATTAAAAACTTAATTATATGGTGAATTAAATAATAAATCATAATAAATAAGAAGATAGTTTATAATATTATTAAAACTATATTTAATGAAGAATAATTTATACATGATTTTTTTTTCAAAATATGTATTTGAGTAAAATTATTATTCCAAAATATAATAATAAAAAAATTACTTTTTTTTTAAACTGGAAAGAGAATTCCTATATACGAAGAAATTAAATTCTTTTTAGTATAAATAATTTGTCATCTTCACAGTAGCTTAAATAAAAAATTTTCACAAATCATTAATTTTTAATTTTATTCCATTAACTTGATCAATACTTCTCAAGAACATAACAAATATACCAACTTTCAAATTAAGACAATAATTTAAAATTCTAAATATTTAAAGTCATTTAAAAACTCTGATATGAACCATTAATCTTGAATTCTCTTATCTTCATTTAATTGACAATGTGTGTTTGAACTTAAAAAAATATATTAATTCACTTTTTCTACATATTCAATAGTGCATCATAAAAAAAACTAAAAGACTTTATATTATACACAAAATTAAGATAAACATATTCAACCAATAAAATTAAAGATATCTCTTTGTTATTTATTAAAAGATAAATTGATATCTCAATATGACCTTCACCATCATTGAGATCCATATTTATATCACCTATATTTAATATCTATTAAGCAAATTCATTTATATCCCTTCACTGTTTTTTATTCTTGCAGTATTAAATATCATATTTTCATAAACGTTTAAAACTTTGCAATTGTTTTATATTTTGATAAATTTATTCATGATTTGACAGCATCATTGATATTTTATAATATATTTTCAAATGCTTTAAAACAAAACTTATTTATCATTGTGTCTCATCACCATTTTTATTTTTTTCTTTTAATAAATTTATTACTACATTGATTTTATTATGTGATTGAAACAAAAAGAAAATAAATAAATAAAGGATAGAGTTTTAATTTGTGATCCTAATAATTTGCCTTATAGTAGAGATTTAAAAATCTTGTGTTTGTGTGTATAATAATCAATGAAGCATTTGGTCTGCATACCCATACCATGTTGTTGATATGAATCCCTACCAGCATTAAAAATACAACAATGTTATATTTGAACATTTCCTGTTGACAAACAAGTATCATTGAATTGGCCGTGTAATGTAGGGTAGGGTTCTTAAATTAACGTGTTGTAAGTGTCTCCTCGGACGTAGAAAACTAATTAGCATTTCCCTGATTGTAGCAACATAATTTAAGAAACAAAAACTAAAGCATCAAATTTTATAGATGTGAGTGTAAACGACAGAATGCTCCCTGTAGCAGTTGAACAATATCCAGTAAGGGAACTCAGATTCTTCCCAATAACAAACAAAACAAAGCTAAATCTGTATATATAAATGATGGGTCAATTGTGTACAAGTTAATAGTCTAATACTTGATGTTTGACGAAGTAACAATAAGAATCTGTTTAGGATTAAATTTGTTAGCACTCTCAATTCTTATTTGTTTATAGATTATTATACCAACAAGGTTAAAAAATAGTTGTCAAATAATTCATGTTAATCATATTTCAATTCTTGCAAAGTCTACATAAAGGGATCAATAGCTAGTGCTTACAAAGTACGAAGTATTCTTAGTGTCCCAAATATATTGGTTCTGACTTTCTTAAATTATTTTTTATCAGATATAAATCGTCAAACGCGAATAATACTTTTGACTCCATCGGAAATTCATTATGAATAGAATTCAGATTCTTACAATCAAACGTAGTTAACGAATAATGGAAATAAATAATTAAAAATGACAATTATAAAAGAAATTTTATTACATATATGGAGTGAGAAGACTTTTAACTCTCAAAGAGTAGTAATTCACATTTTATATTAAACACATGCACCTCAACAATAACTTGACCTATTTATTGAAGCATTCACTTTTTTAAAAAAATAAAATAAAATAAACTACCCTATAATAACATGTCTATATATAAGTAATTATCTTTGTAATTTCTTACTTTACAAAATCTCTTTAATTCATAACAACGATTTTTTTTATAACCTAAGTATCCACTTTCTTAATTCCTCTGACAACAAACACCGATTACTTTTCCTTTGTCAATCACACAAAATCAAATCTTAACTGCTTCAACGGTAGACGGTAGTAGTTAGGGATATATATGAGGTTGCACAGCCACTATAACATATTGTTAACTACTACTGCTAAAGAGAGTCCACACCAACCAAAACCTAAATTAATTAATGTTCATCCCCAAGCAATATTGACCAAAGTTGAAAGATCTGCTACCATAATATATTCATAACCACAACTGATCAGTTTCTAATGACACATATTCAACTGTATAGGGTTGATTGTATAAATATTCAAGCTAAGGGTGCCACATACATATCCTCAAAAACCACCTTAAAAGTTAGATGTTGATTTAATCTGCATTTAGAGTGGTAGGCTAGTTAGATACATAAATTCATAAAGAAAAATGTGTTTAGAGCCTGAGACAAGATTTTCATACTGTTAAACCCGATTGTTCAAACATGTGTGTTCAAACATGCTATAGGTCACATACCCTATTAGACTCCCTGAAAGGTAATCTTTCTCTGAAGGTTATTGTCAAACATTAAACCGTGTTTGTCAAAGTCTGCATAAAAGAATGCATACCAGGCACTCACTTCAACCAGCTGTGACAGAAATTAAGGATTCCACAATCAAGCGTTGGAATTGGATACCTAATCAGAACTTCACATATATACGTACACCTGATCATCAAGTATGAATCAACCATCTTAGCTATATTAACTATCATTGACTATCCTCATGAGACTTATGTATACCTTTTCAACATGATCAGAAGGCACAAGTTTAGCTAGAAAAAGAATAAGCACCTTAATCAAAGATTCCAGAAACCGTCACCTCGCTCGTAAGCAACAAGATGGTTGACTATAGTTACCCGAAGCTAGCAAAACCACAGAGAAGCCAATGAATAAGCCATCAACCCTTTTGCTCAATGGTGTCAGTGACTCCATATATGTGGCAACAAAACAATCCAATTTGTCAAAACGGTTGGTGTTTGATTTCCATAGACGTTTTGCTGCTGCAGGTTTTTGCACCTTTTCTATACCCTCTTGTGAAGCAGGCACGTAACATAATTGCGTAATCTGGATCCTCCTGCTACTTTCCTAGCTACCACCATCTTAGCTTCATGGAGGGCTCCTATCATCTCAGCTATATCTAGTGCGGAACTATTCTTATACGTAATATGTTCCACTATAGGTTGAATTATATATGAAATATTCAACAAAAGCACCTTCTATGCAATAATTCTTTTAAATTATTAAAAATGATCATTTTTGAAAAAAATAAGTATTTGAGTAAATTGAAATACGATTTCAATACGAAAAGGTAGTGTTTTTTAAGTATAATTTTAATGTTTTAATATTATTGTTTTATTATTATAATAGTTATTATATGTATATAGTTATTATTATAATTATATATAGCAATAGAAAATAATAATATTAATAATTATATTATAATAATAATAATAATAGTAACATAAAAAATATTACCGAGTTGAATTTATATGTAACTTTTTTTTATCAAAAAGAAATTGGAGCTGTCATCATATAACAAAACTTTGACATTTACTTGGCTAAAATAATACGTGTACGAGACCTGGTCTTCTACCAACTATAGTTAGAAAATAAAAGTTTGTGAAAAATTATTTCATGTCAACCCTTATTGGAGATAAACATTATATGTTATTGCACATCATAATAGGTGAGTAATTCTAAAAGAAATATAGTGACTATAATGTATATATAACTAATAAGGTTTTAATATATTTTGAAAATGCAATTTTAAAAAGTACAATTTTTTAATATTATGTAGATTTTTTTGTGTTATTTTAAAGATAGGTATTCATGCAACTTATTTATTGCTGTTGTAAAATGTCCCAGCCTTTAATTACAGAAGGGAATGGAGGGAACAAGGTGTGAACATGGATCAAAGCAGATTACACATGTCATATATATAAGATAATTAAGGAACAATGTATGGATATATATCTCTTTACGTTTTGGAAGGTAAAGTTTTGATATTTTTGCTTTTAAGGGAAAAAGAGAGAGTTGTGTGGACCAATTCAATTCTGTGATCCACATGCATTTGCTTGTTTCAACGCGTACGCAGTAACTCAGTACTTATTATAGCTCCATTCTTCATTATTTCTGACGTTGTTATTAATCCTGGCTTCAGTTTTATTGACTTGGTTTAATGGTTGATGCATTGCAGATAACTAACTATTCTCAAGACGCAAACTCTAGCTTTTAGTAACACAAATATTTTCTGCAATTATTGAAGTTGTAAAAAAAACTAATTAGATTTAGTAACATTATTCAATTTGGTTTAGAATGGATTCATTTTGGACACAGTAAGTTTTAAATTTGACCAATCGATTGTGTTACTTATCTGAATTCATCTTTTTCTGAATTCAATAATACTTATTATGATCAAACATTCCATGCGCCAGTGCTCTCTTTCTCATCAATTTTTTTAGACAACACATTCAATTCCAAGAGTTATCACCAACAACAAAATTCTTCATTAATTCAAATATTCAATAAAATTGTATTTCTGTATTTTTTTTTTCAATTAACTTATTCTATGATGGGTTATAAAGAAATGGAGTTTGTTAACAATAGTGTTTTTGAGACAGAAATCAATGAATAGTTTTTATTAACAATAATGTTAGAATTGCATAGGAAATCACGTAGAAATACTCTCTATTGTTTTAATTTATTTTTAAATTGGTATTTTCCTAAATAAATATTGTTTTCTATTGCACCAATAATAAACAATGGTACAACTTGGATTGAAGATACTTAGACACTGGTGGCTACTACTTTTTATTTGCTTAGTTTTCCGCCACAGTGTTTTGAAATGCCATGTAAAATTAAAATAACCCCCATTAAGAAACTTAAGAAGTCTGTGTGTTTACGTATGCTTATTTCCCGTTTTTTATCTGATTAAAAAAAAGATACAATTGATAGATAACAACCTTGTAAATTAACTTTTAGTTTATGTTTCTTAATAACATATTTAAACATGTGATATGCTTGAGTAAAATATATAAATTTCCGTGACGAATACAGTTCTCTGGATTGACAATTTTCAATGAACGTAACATAAGAAACAAGTTGTTGAAGAGGTGAATTAGCTTTATTGCATTTACATTGGTCGTGTAAATTAAGGGGTTTTTATATTACCAGTTTGAGGGTGTACATGTGAACCCTAATTTTTTAGATTGGCGTAAATTTCATAGTTGTTGTGTTGGTCATAATGATACGAATGAGTATAAACGAAAATGTCAACAAAAAAAAAAAAGAATAGCGAAAAGAGTTGGTGCTGTGTGTGCCCCCATTATTTATGGAATTTTAACTCTTATTTGTTCTATTACTCTGTTTTTGGAGAGGATTGAGTTAGTGGAGTATCTCACGCTTCCAACCCAAGCAAACAAGTTCGATGATGTGGCGTTTTCTGACCTAGACGTAGCACGTGTGGACCGTGTCACATCCCTGCACAACACGTGTCACTCCCCACTAATAATAAAATAACACAAAATTTTAAACTAAATTCAGTCAAATAAATAGCTAGTAGATAAATAAATAAAAAATACAAGACAAACGGTGGTAGTGGGGTAACAGGATTTTGGGGTTAAGAGAGTATCAATTTTTATGTGTAAATAATAGAACTAAAATTGAGTGAAATAAATAAAATGGTACAAGTAAATTAAAATTAAATAAAGAAAAATGGAAGAGAAATTATGGTAGTGGGGTATGGGGACTTAGGAGTTAAGAGGGGTTGAATTTTATATATAAATAAGTAGGTGGTGGTGCTCTATCCCACCTGGTTATGTGCATATTCTTAGGAACTCTAAGTCTCCCTTCCCGTATCTCCCTCTCTCTCTCTCTCTATATCAATATTAATCTGCAACTTCTAGTTTTGAGGGATCAACAAATTCCAGATTTCAGGTGAACAGAAAATGGGAAGGCAACCTTGTTGTGACAAAGTGGGGTTGAAAAAGGGTCCATGGACTGCAGAGGAGGATAAGAAACTCATCAACTTCATCCTCACTAATGGCCAATGTTGCTGGAGAGCTGTCCCTAAACTAGCAGGTCTCCTTTCACTGCTCCTTCTCTTGGTGCATGTCTTTAACTCTAAGGCTCAATTACAGCCCTTATTATGGTTGAAGCCATTCATTTCCTTAAGGGACTAGCCACATACTTCTTTAACAATTTGCCTATCAAAAATCTTAAAATGGTTCATTCATTTTTGCATTTTGGTCAAATTGATTATTTTGGCCGACAGGGCTGCTTGCCTGTGCTGCGCTCATTCTGTCTCCATTCAAAGACACTGAAAGCAAGCATTCAAGAATGGACATAGACATACATGTTTTCTCCACCTTTTGGAAGATGATTTTTTTTTTAATATATTTTAAGCATAATAATCGCGAGGAAACAGGAAACATTATGGCTTGTTTTGTTTCTTGAACATAATTATTTGGGGAAAGGAGTTGAGCAAAGCTTCAAGTTCACATGCATTTTTTGTAATCACTATATGCTGACTTTACAAGTTCGTTTATACCTTCATGCAGGGCTGTTAAGGTGTGGCAAAAGTTGCAGGCTCAGATGGACAAATTACCTGAGGCCAGACCTGAAGAGAGGCCTTTTATCAGAATATGAAGAGAAGATGGTCATTGATCTCCATGCTCAACTTGGCAATAGGTTCTTTCTCCACCCACTCTGTTTCCCCTGTTTCTGCATGCTTGGCTACTCCTTAATCAACATTTTTTAAATTGATTAAATAACTAGAACACTGCTCTTCTGAAATATTAGACTAGGCTCATCTAAAAAAATATCTTATTAAAAAATTAGAACATATCTCAATCATTTCAAAAGCAATAACTAATTCAAAGTTATCATTTCTGTAATACACGCCCTCAAGTGGTAATTTGTTTATTCATCAGAAAAAAAAAAAAAAAAAGAGGACATGGTCCCATAATAACACACTCCTACAAGAAGGAGAAGACGTGTACAAATTGTAGACCAACTCTCTTTCTTCCTTCGTAATTTTTTAAAAGTAAAGGAACTATCTATGATTGCAGTTATTTCATATTGACTGTAAAGGGGAATCATTAATCTACAAATGATGCCCCAGTTTGTCTTATGGCAGATTTTCTGGTTTTGTAACTTCCATAACATAGGAAAGTATACTTTTCTAGTTTGTAGTAGGAATAAAGTTAATTTTCCTTTGTAAACTTTCCTAGTATGGACTTTTTGATGGAACACTTTTTTTTTAATAATTGGGTTCCTGTACTAATTACTGATGTCTCATATTGTCCTTTGTGCAGGTGGTCTAAGATTGCCTCTCATCTTCCAGGAAGAACTGATAATGAGATCAAGAATCACTGGAACACTCACATAAAGAAAAAGCTCAAGAAAATGGGAATTGATCCTGTTACTCACAAGTCACTTTCCATTGCAACTGAGCAAACTCAAGCCCAACCAGATCAACCACACCATCAAACATTTCAAGAACAACAACAACAACATCAGCAACAAGCTATCCCAGTTGAGAAAGACCCCAAATTTGAGCCTAAAAATGAGGAAAACAAGGAGTCAGAGAAGCCAGAGACTTCATTTGAATCATCAACCATCACTGAAGAAGCTAAGGAAGAAGACCAAATCATGACACCCCTTTTTGACTCGATGGAACTCATGAATGAATTCTGCACTGACGAAGTCCCCATATTAGAACCGAGTGAGATTCTAGTTCCATCTGCTCATTCCACTTCACCAACCACTACATCATCTTCAACCTCATCTTCTTATTCAAATTCCTCCAACTTCTTTGACGACCTGCTGCTCCCAGATTTTGTCTGGTCTGATGATTACAATGATACTAATATTGACAATAACAACAGCAGTATGGCCTTGTGCGATGATGACTTTATTAGAAGTTTGAATTTGCTTATTAATGATGATGGTGATGGGGACAGAAAGCAAGTGTTTGACAATCCTGTCAATCAGTACCCCAGAGTGATCATGGATTCAGAATCTTGGCCATATGGTTTGTTTTGAGTTGAATTTTTTTCTCTCCAATGCTTACTTGTAATGTGCTTGTAAGTTGTTGCAAAGAATAAAAAGTATATCAGGATTCAAACAGAACCACAACTCTTGTTTAGTATATTATCCACTTTTTTTGTGCCTCAACTTTTCACCCTATAATAAAGGGAAGAGGATATCTGTATATGGTAGTGCAAATGTGTTGATTTGTTGTTGCTGGTCAGGGCATACTTCATCATACTGGAAACTTGGAATTCCTTATTATCAATTAAATGAAACTTTATCTTGTTTGTTTCTTACTATATAAACAACAGGAAAAAATAATTTACATAAAGTTTTTTTCTCTATTCTTAAATTTGTAGTAATCCCAATGCTAAATCCGAACCTTGTTATTGAATACCAGAACATATCCTGAAAAATTGTAAAATGTAAAAAGTTGTCTTTTCACTCTCAGTTAAGCAATACTAACTTTGTATATTTCCCAAACACATATTCATCCTTTGTTAATTACTCTCTTGGTCTACATTTTTGTAGCAACATGTACTGATGTAGCAATCAATATTATTTTATTGAGGCAATTTGGTTCATTCCAATTGCCATATTTTTAAGTTAAAAGTTGAACTACCCAAACTTACTACTGTGTAAAGCGAAAAGAAAATAGTGGAGCATTTCCAATTAACTTCAAACATTCAAACTTAGAGATTTGTCCTTTTTATAATTTTTTAAGACAATAAATATTCTTTACAAAAGACAATTATGTTTAATTAGGATATAATTATTATAGACGACAGAATTTTTTTTCTAACTAATGACAAATGTATACAGTGTTTGAACTTAAGACTATTGAATAAAGTGAAATAGTTTTGTTTCAGGTAATTTATACAGACTGATTTGTCTTACATTACTTTATATAGTTATAATTTGGATGAAAAAAATATAATAATTAAACTTTCTTCATCCTGGACCAAAATGACAGTCAATATTTATTGGATTTAATGCACTGTGAAGAAGCATCAGAAATTTGACAATGAATGCCGTAGAGTAACATGTTGACCAATTTATGGCAACAGCAAGTTTTATCAGAAAAAAATTAATGATGTGCAGAGTTATCTTGTGTTTCTAAATTCTCCATTATGATATTCCTACTTCATTTCTTTTTTTCCTTTTTTAACACCGTAAATCAGAATAGTATACATTGATGTCTTCATTTTTTAAATGAAAATATTTCTTATTAGAAAGTGCTTATTTGCACAGGGAATATACCACATAAAGAAATATACTTATAATCAAATTGAAAACTAATACCAACACACGCGAAGAAATTATAATCACATCCTCTTATATATATATAATATGAAAAAAAGTGACAATATCATATTTTTAAGCAAATGAGATGTTTATGTAGGATTAAAAAAAATCAGAAAAGATCAGTATAATTTATTTTCAAAAAATATAATTTGGCGTGAGTGTTTTATTTTACATTGGAGTTTCAGATTGATGTTCAAAAAAAAAAAAACTTTATGAGGTGCGAAACAAATTATACTAAACACTAGTCATTTGGATTACACTTTTGGAACGAGCCTTGTTTGGTGAAAAGGTTGAACTTTGATAGTGGGAAGACAAAGATAGGTTTATGATGACGGTGGTGGGTTACGGGGTTATGACAAGGACTAGTCTCTGCTGGTGTTTCAATGGTTTAGAACTTACTCCGACCAGACTTTTTTTTTTCTTGTTCATTCTAAAAGAAAATAAATATGTTTGTAAAATAATTAAAATATTCTTAAAAAATAATGAGTTCTCACATACACAATAGTAATTTTTGTATATTTATATACTCTACAGATATTTCTTTGATATATTAACTTGATTTACAGTACAATTTATAGTTTAAAATACATTTATTATAATTATAATTACGTAAAACTAAATATATATCCCTAATAATTCACAGTTAAAATAGTTTAGTATTATTCGAGGATTATTAGCAAATAAAATTTAGTTGGATTTATAAAAACAATGAAAATCTCTTATCTCATCTCATCTAAATTAAAAAAGTGTTACATGTGTCTTGTTGTAAAAATAACAATAAAATTGAAAACATTATAATTTTAAGAGGAATGAAGTAGTAATGATTTTAGAAAGTATAAAAATAAAAAGTTGATTTGGACACTTCAGTTATAGAGTATATGGTACATGTTTAATTGTAATGATCGATGTTGGTTCAGATTGAGTATAAAGATTGCCTTTAATTGTTTAAAACGGTGCAAGTAATAATAGTGACTTGTGCTTCCAACCATACCTATCATTTTATACATTAATATAATATATAATTAAAAAATATATGTGTACAGTTACTAGTAAATAAACATACATGAATAAAACAATTATAGCATTATATATGTAACATTATAAATGCTATTTAATATCTGTATATTAGTTTCATTATTCTTTTGAGTTTTTGGGGAGAATATTGACAATGCATAAAGAAAATTTAAATAGTTATTGTGCTTTTTGTTTTTAAATAATATTTACTGTGATCATTGTTTTCAAGTAATTGTAATTTCAATTTTTAATTAACTTTGACTTATAAATATGAGATGTTTATTGAAATTTTTCAAATAATATAAATGATATTATGTATAAAATAATGATTTAATATTTAAAAAAAATAATCAAATGAATAAGATATAATATAAAAAATATTAGTATAATTACTTTTTTATAATAAATATTATTTTTATTTATGATAGATTTTTTTATGTTCTATAAGATTATATATATATATATATATATATATATATATATATATATATTGTGTTTGTACTAATTTTTAGATGAAATTTTTATAATAAAATTAGATGAATTTTATTGAACGTGAATAATAAGATAAAAGAAGAGCTATGATAAACCTAAAGAGTAAAATTAATATAATTACTATAACATATTTAATTTAATAAATAAAATTAAAAATTAATAGACAAATTACAATAGGAAATGAAAAACAACTCTTACACATATATAACTGTACATACATACTCCATGTATATTATCTGCATAAAATGAACATAATGATTAGTAATGATAATTAGTTATTAGTTCTGCTGCACTGCACCTTGATGGATGCTCATGTGTCCTTGTTTTGCTAGAGGTTTTATTACTTGGTTCCGAAGGTAAGCATTCGCAAAACCCAAGCATAGAATACGTCTTAAATACGAAGATATACGATTGTCTATACGTTACATCATGACAGTTACCATATCTTATTTGTAAGCTAAGATTACTATTTCCTTCAAAACTTGTTCACTTTTATAACAGAGACAAAATTCTCAAGCATAAATATTTTTTAATATCTGAAATATCTTTAATAAATTATATTAGTTTATGATGACAAAAATTATAATAATGTGACAATAATTTATTAGGAAATAAAATAAAATATTATATTATAACTTAAAATCAATTACTAATAAATAAATTGATTCAAATATAAAAGTTACAAAGGAAAGAACTGAAATAAACAACGTTAAACCCTTTTCAACTAAATAAATGTTTATTAAAATAGACATCTCTCGATTAAAAAAATGTTTATTATATTTATTGTCTCATATATTTTAATTTTTTATTATAATTTATATAATTATTAGACAATTTAATTTATTGGTAGTAAGTTTTGAATTTAAATTTAATATATATTAACATATTTTTATCATTGATTATTTTAATATATATTTTCTTAATTGAGAGAATTTGTTGAGAAAATTTTCAAATGTTTTATTCTAATTCTTTAGACACAAATAATATATCATTAGATAATTTCATTTATAGGCCATTCATTATAAATGAAAAGATAAAATAAAATCAATAATTTTATAACATTGTATGGATTAGAAAATCTAAATTTATATGTGATAAGATAAAAAAGTTCTTAGGTGAGTAGTTGAATGTGAAGAGGATGAAGGGTACGACAGAAGTGAAGGAAAAGACAATGAAAGAGGAAGTGAAGATCCTCGTACAAGTAGTCAAAGGAAGCATGAATCTCATCTTAAAGTCGTAGGCATGTACGCACTACATTCAGTCAAACTTGGAAACTGCAAGCCTTCGCTAATTTGCTTTCAGCGTTTGAAGAGAACAAAAAAAATATTGTAACCAATATCTTAGTTAGATCTCTCATAATAAAGATTACTTAATCAAGAAACATATACTTGTAAGAGTAAGATTTTAGTAAAGCTTAACCTTTATATTTAACAATATTTATATAAAAAATGTTTAATATATAGCTCTCTTATTAAAATAATAAAAATTCTTTCTAAATTTACTTTAAGTCTCACTCATGGTTGAATTGGTCATCGTCCTAGTTAAAATTTACGACTTTTTATTTGTTTTTTTCAAAGGCCTACAGAATATTGTTTCTTACGTCATACTTGATCAAAATTTAGAGAAAAAATAAATTTAGAATAATTTGATATAAAGTGAATCAATAATAGAATATTTAACTTCAAATAAATTTCAATGAGTATCTTCAAATATTTATGAATAAAAAATATTTATAAAACATTTAACAAATTCATTGCTATTTGAAAATAATTTTGATTTTTTTTCTATCTATGTAATTTTAATTACAACTAAGATCTTTCTTTTCTATCTAACTGTATTTTTTACTTTAAATTGCAGGAGCAATTAGAATATTCAAATACTAAGATACTGTAAATGTAAATGTTGTTCATGTTACTTCTTGGAAAACAAACTTCTTGATAAATTTTCAAAACAATTACTCATTGTGTTTGAAAAAAATATATTTCCATGCAAAAAAAATTAAGGGCGACGTATTTTCACTTTAAATTTAAATGTAACGAAGCATAAAAGTGATTCTATTGTAATGTTTTTACTTCAAATTTGTTATTATGATTAAGATTGTTGTATCAAAGTATTATTTACATTAGTATGTAGTAGTTTTGGCATAATTTTGGGTTGAAAAAAATATAGTTAAAGAGAAAAATTATTTATAAAATGTATTTTATCTTCATTCTAAAGTCATAAGATTTTTTTTAATATATTATAACATTCTCAAAATAAAATATTTTCGTACTAATATTTGTTGTCATGTGTGCGTGAAAGAACCTGAATTCTCACTTATGCAGGCAAAGCCTAGAAAAATTTAAGATAATATTTTTTTGTTATGTACCTCTGAATACACTTTGACTATAAAATTAAAGCATAGGACAGTGATGATATTGACAAAAACGACGTGGTACACATTAATTATACTACGATTGCTGTGTTGTAAGTAGATTTTTGTAATACACTTACAGAAAAACAAGACTCGTAATTTTTAATAAATTACAAAAAAAAAATTTAGGAGAGTGTATTATTAATATTCCTCATAATTAAGCATATTTAAGAGTGGGTCCAACAATATATTCGTTTGTAATTACATGGTGGAATAAAAAAAATGTAAAAGCGATTGAACGAAAAATGTATAATTTAATGCACTGAAAAGTTATCTCCATATATAAAAATAAAAGTAAAGATACGTTGGTCTATGATAATTTATCATTTGACAAATTCTTTCTTTCTTTTTTACTTCAGATGACGGCAGGTGCAGAGGATTAAAAAATGACAATAAATTACGTGTATTACTCGGAACCACTTTCTTTTTAAGGATTCATCATCATCATCACACTTCACACCTAGCATAAAGCCATGTAAAGGAGTCTCAAAACGCGTAGGAGATAGAATTGTTATAATATCACAACAAATTTTGAGGAATCTATAGAAAATGGAAGTATTCTCACTTGTTTAAGGTATAGAGTATAAAATCATTCAAAGAGAAATGACTTAAGAAAGGGAAGTAACAGAGAGAGTTGAATCCTCTCTCACACAATTTTCTTTTGTTTACATGGTCTTCGAAATTGGAGTGTAGTTGTGCCATGTTTTATGGAGTTATGTGTTTCAATTTGCAAATGTTTGGACTTTGATGAAGGTATTATTGCATTGAGTTCACACACTCTTTTTGCCACTTAGTGTCTTTGTCCCGACGACCAAAGGTTCATTTCATGGCCCTCGCATACACATTGCCACTTCATGTGTCAAAGATTGTCCTTGTCAATGTGCCAAGATGCCGCGTTATCTCCATTACATTTGTTTTAGAAATATTGTTTCTTTTTTTAATTAATTATTTATTTATTTAATATTATTGTTAGTATATTTTTTTTAGTAAGAATTTATTCCTTACTAATTACCATATTTATTAATATGCTGTGATAATAAGGTAAGTTTTGATTAGAAAAAAATATATTAAATGAGTATTTAATATGGAGGTTCTTTTACATTTTTTTTAAAAGCCAGATTCTCTTACATTTTTTAGAAATCCTAGGTCTGGATTTTGAAGATTTCTATATTTAACATGAATATTTTAAATTTGTTTCCAATAATCCTACATTCTAAAAAACCAGTTTCTAATTAAGTTTTTCCCTGTTTTTTTAAAGGAGTGATGGACGATTCTTAAAAATGTCTTTAAGATGATTGTTAAGTAATTTAAAATACCACTTTTTTTTTATTAAAATTCACATTGAAAATATTTTATTATTATCAAATTCAAATTCGATTTTTTTTTAATTATTCTTTCAATCCACAACAGATCGCTAAGATAGTATGCCGATCCTACCATAAAATCTTGCTCACGAAGATGAAAACTATTTTGCTATTTTAATTGTTTCAATCAATATTATGATGCCAAAATTTGATAGATAACCCTCTTTCTAAGGGAAAGTGACAGCTCTTCGGGTTAGTTGAAATTTTGTATTTTTTCTTTCTATTTTATTAGAGAATTATAATTACTTAGCGGTAAAAATATGCCATATTTTTTATAAAAAGAATCAGCAATTTGAAAATAAAATACTTATTTGACAAATCAAACTTGTGTAATTTTTTATTTTTGTTTCATCTAACTATTTTATGTATAATGATTTGAAAATTTTATTTTTAGGGATTGGCCACCACTGGTTGAGAATTGACATTTCTCTGACCAAGGTTCCAAGAATGGTGACCATTTATATCCACTATAACAAATTACGACATGAGATCCAACAAGATGTGATAGTAAGTCTTAAATGGTATCTTATCGTGAAGATCATTCTCAATCCATATCGCCTTAAATTTAAAAGCTGGAACAAATATAAAGAGAATTGGAGTTTGCAAACAAGTGACACGACACAAAAGCATACCATTTGGAACTTCTAAAAAGCCAGATCGAAAATCACTAATCTTGGTCTTCATAACATAATTACTCACATTATTGTATGTCTTGATAAAATCATGGTCTGCTTAAATTGCTGTTATTGTTCAATTTATGATGCCACGCACACATCCAAATGACATCTTATGGGGATATCATAATTGTCCTCCACCAAATCAAATATTTCTTTAAATTTAGACTCTCTTTTTTTTAGTTACCTACATACAAAGTATTTTGTTTTTACTATGCCATCACAATGTGAAAGGTTCTTCGTCAAATGATTAGACGATGAAATCTTCAGATGATTAATGTACATGGTCTTGACATGATCTTTCTATAATTATGTATAATTTTTATCTTACAAAGTGTGACTTTTGATCATTTTGTGGTGAAAATATATCCGCTCGTAACATATTTCTACGATATCACGTATCATTTTATGGTTTATTTTTTATTATTTTAAGAAAGGGCCATATTTATTATTATTATTACTTAAAATTATAGTTTATATTATTTCTTAATACTATGATATTAATTTTTAATTAAATATGTATTTAATCGTTATAAAATAATTAAGTTTTGATTTTAGTCTTTCTATTTTTGTTCACAATTCTAAACTTTTAAATTTATTTTCTATAAAATCAAATTTCCCATGTAATATATATATATATATATATATATATATATATATATATATATATATATATATATATATATGAGAGAGAGAGAGAGAGAGAGAGAGATAATTATTTTAAAATCATTATTTTTATAGCTAAAAATCATTTTAAGATAAGTATTTATTTTAGAATAGAAAATAGTTTTTAAAGTTATCACATATACTAATGAGCGTTATATAGAATAATTACGTGACCTCTCATTAATATAATAATAATAATAATAATAATAATAATAATAATAATAATAATAATAAATAATATTATCTAATAATAAGAATAAAAAAACTAAATTTGAGAGATTAAATCTAAAAAATTACTGGTTTTATGAGGATAAAACACATTTAAATATAATTGCTATTTATTATTTATATTAAATAAATCCATTATAGTACAATTAAATATATAAAATAATATTTTGTTTTTGTGGTGTAGAGAGATGATTGTTTATAGCGCGTGGGGGTGCGAAATACGTCTTTGTGTGTGTTTGAGAAGTGAGAAATGGGAAGAGTAAAGATGTGCCAAGTCATCAAGTTGGTCCACTCAGCACACGAGGCACCATGAACCAGTTGACCTTTTTTAAGTGCGTTACAACCAGCCGGTACAACCAACTCCACGTGTCAACCTAAGTTCTTAAAAATGTTATTTTCTTTTATAATGATGCTACTGGAGATTAATTTATAATTTTAGAAATTCTTATTTGATAATTAAACCAGGTTGTTAGCAGGGTGAAACAGTTTTTTGTCGGAGGAAGATTATTGGTTGTTACCGCACAAAGTTTCTTATATGGAACGTAATTGGGAGTGTAATATTGTTTGGTTGAGGAGATATAATTTGGCAGTCAAATCTCTTGATAGCAGTCGTTAAAGGGTTCAATCACACATCACTACCACATCTTTATCCAATTTCATCGATTGACTTATTACTTATTATTACCTCCATAATTATAATTTGGTGCGGCTAATCCCTCCTATCCTTCATATACATTGGATTCAAGGAAGCTACTACGATGTAATTGTCCCGTTAATAATCTAAGTGCAATCAATAAATATTTGTTATGTAATGAATCACTTTAAATGTTCATTCATTTTTTAAATTATTTATCTCACAAGTGCAAAAATGCAGTGGAGCAAACTCATTTACAGTATTCTATACCCAATACGATAGTCAATCCACACATCAAAGTAGACAAGACCCTAAGTTAGAGAAAGCAGGGTTATGTTGTCGAGGATCAAAGCCCTAGAATTTTATTATTATTATTATTATTATTATTATATTATTATATTGTTTTCTGCGAAGTACAATTTTGTCATATTTGTACGAAGCAAGATGGTATTTTTGTGTGTGAAAGAGACTATTTATGTATTTTTATATATTTAATTGATAATTATTTCGAATTTAATTATAAATAATAAAAATAATAAATTCAAATATAAACAAAATTTAAAGGTGTGTATTTCATAATAATCAAATATATATATATATATATATATATATATATATATATATAAAAGACTAATTTTGAAGATTCTTATTAATGTGTATATCTAAATCATATAAAAATATATATAATATTACATTAAATACAAAATTTATTTTTTATTTATTTATATAACTTTGTGGTTTTTATTTAGGGTGATATTTTAACATATATTTAAGTTTTTAATAATTTATTTTTTAACAGTAATTCTCTTACACAATGAAATTCTCTAGTACTATTTTTGGATATTTAAAATAAGATTATTATTAAAATATTATTATAAATGAGCATAAGTCAGCTAAATAAAATAATATGATATCACATTAATCTAAAATATTATATTAAGGTATTGAGATATAAATTCTTTTTATTTATAAATTATTTAACTTTTTTATTTTTATTTGATGAATGATTTCAGCACATAGTTTGATTTTAAAGAAGACTAATATAAGTTGGTTAAATAATCAAATGATTCATTCCTTGTTATTTTTATTTTTATTTTTTTAAGATATAAGCTCAAATTCTTGTTTGATGAATAATTCTTCTTAAAGATGGTATCATGACATTTGAAAACTATAAATTTGTATATAATTTGATAGTGTAAACCAATATTATGAGTTAACTTTTTATTTTAGCTCATGTCATTAATAGTTTGCATGGTAGATTCAAAATGTTTGTATATTCATAATATTAAAATTATAAATATATATATAATATTAAAAATTGTAAGATATTTATAATATTTTTTAATGAGAGTTGTTTATTAAGATGTTTAAATTAATTATTAGTTGCTTGAAACAATTTTTCATTAGAGTAACTTTATATGATATCATAAATTGTTTAAATTTTTTTGGTAGTTATTTAACATATTAAAGTGAATGAGGAGAGATAATGATTTATTTAAAATTTATTAAATAAATTTTTAATGGAGTAAAATCACCATTGAATTGTTTAAAATTGATGTGTCATTATAAATCTTTATTTTACATTTTTCAAGAGAAGAAATAACTCATATGAATTGCTCCTATTGGATATACTTTTAACTTATCCTATAAAATTCATTGAGTTAGATGAGTATTGTACTTACATATATATTATAATGTTATCATATTTCTATTTGATGTGAAATTTAACTACACACCCTTATCTTGACTATGCTTTTTTTCATGTTGACTCGTTTATCTCAGGAGGGATTTTTCATGTTTCATCATTACTAAAATTAATTCTAATAACATATTAGAAATTACGAGATACTTGTAATTTTATCTAAAATAATTTTATCATTTATTAGATATATAACTCGAATGAGATTTAGAGAAAGGAAATGACAGTTTAATTTGATGCAATGAAGTAGTAGAGATAGTTTTTCAAGACAAAAAAAAAAAGAAAAACAAGAAGAATATATGAAGATGGATGAAGTTGGTGTCTTTCTTTGAATTACTGGGAGACCGGAGAAGGAGAGTGAATGGAAGATTATTGATTAATTAGTCACTTCTTGTGGAGTTTTATTTTCTTATAAATGTTAACGTGACAAAAAAGTACATAAATGAAATGGTAAATGAAAAATATAATATTGTTAGAATAAATTTTTTTTGAATAAATTAATTAATCAACTCATGGAATAAGAGTATGTAATAATTATTTTAAATTTTTTTTATTATATTATGTAGGTTAAGCTAATGTTTCATTGATGATTAATGTTGTTTCTACTTAGTTAATCTTTTTCAATAGACTTGACAATGATATCAAAATCGATGATTTGTTTAGTGACCGATCTGTTTAAGAGTAATTTCGTATTGAAAATCTTCCTAAAAGTAGGTTAGGTAAACATGTCTTATTCATTATGATGAACAACAGAGGAGATGTACAAACGTGAAATAACTCACGTTTGAGGAAAAATTGTTAGAAAATTCAAGTATTAGTCTAAGTCTTTGAATAAAAATGATAAAGGTACACATTAATTAAATGTGATATCAATTTCTTACATTAAACTCAAGTGTTATTAATATTGTTTTTTCTTACTAAATCTCTATTAGAATATTCAACAATAATTGTGTAAAAATTACGTATAATTTATTGGTTATTCTTCAAAATTAAATATTGTCCCATTTATAAAAATTGGAATATTTTGAAAACAAAAATTTCAAAATATTTCTATCCGTTCCCTTTGAAACTAAATTAACTTATTTACAAATTAAATAAGATATTTTAAAAAGAAAAATAGTTATGTTAGAAAATTATCCGTTTTGTTATTTTTGTTAAATATTTATAAATAAATTATTTCAAGCCAATCTTCAATTTTTTTTATTATTATTAAATGGGGAAAGGTAACAAACCCTAGATGGAAAGAGTGAATGAAATGGCTAAATTAGGAAAGTTATAGATGTGAGAAGAATTGTGATGAATATATTAAGGTTTAGGGTGACATGGTGTCCTTGGTTGGGGCGGTGCGACTTACGGTACCAAAATAGATGGGACAGTCGACCCAAACGCGCATGAATTCCATTGGTGGATGTTGGGTCCCACCTATGTCTCTCTATACTATGTGCCTCCACAGTGAAAGAAAGTGTTTGATGCATGAGAATTCAGAAGTAGAGTACACCCTCTCTGTGTATCCCATCCTTTTCATCATTAGTTAAAATGAATCAATGCCCCAATGAGTGCATTCACAACCCATCTTTCATGTTTCCAATACCTTCAACCTTATATAAATATATGCTGCACTTTTTTTATTTTATTCTTTACTTTTTTCACTTTCATGCATACCACGTTTTTGTTTTTATAAACTATAAACACCCTCATTCTGATAATTGTTAATTATAATAGTAGACGAGACACACGATTTCGTAATGCTTTGGTCATTCACAGGGTCATACATTTCCTTTTGGGTTTAGAATAGCTTGCAAATTCAACTTTGTACACTCTGCCATACTCTCCTAATTTCCCCCACTTCAATCACTCAACAAACCAGCTTGATGCAATAATACTTGTCCTATTAGTTTGGTTGGAATCACATTTTCGTATCTTCATTTTTCTGACTAACAAATTAAGCAAAAATATTAATGAGAAAAATTCATGTGGCCGTATGGTTTATAAAGAATTCAGAATTTCCAAGTGGGTTGAGAGAGGGGAATTTATGAATCAAAATAGCGTAGACTTCCTTATTTTGTATTTTAGATAAAACTGCCATGGCTATGGAATTCTTAGACTAAGTTAGGTCCACATATCCACTACCATTACACACGTATGTGCGAGCAAGATGTCTCTATACCTTCAGATATTGATCTTATCAGTTAATTGGTATAATTAATGATCCCGGATTCAAATTTTATAGAGACAAGTTAAATATTAAAAAAATCTTATTGTTTGTAATAGTTTAATTCAACTTAAACAGGATTTTATTCTGTAGAGAATAATAATGATAAAAAGAACTTGTAATGGTCGATATGGTAGGGTGATAACTACATCAGTGTCTCGTGGAAGAGAGGATGATACTAGCCAACGCAACAAGAAAAAAGAAGACACAAGAGGTCAAGGTTTTGTAGGGAATGGCTTTAAAACCCACGAAAAGTAAAAAAAAAAAACATAATAGAAAAAGTAGATTATAATTATTAATTTATGCAAATTTTCCCTAATTAATTTATATATATATATATATATATATATTTTTTTTTTTCATATACCCTACACATTATCCAGTGACCATGTGAATGAATATTAGGAGATTTGATTATTACACCCATCCATAAAAAACGTTATCTTTGTGCAGCCACGTACATTATGGATTCTACAATGTTCTGAAGGTGCCACGGTGTCCCAGCATCAGAGTATGAGGGAGGGACAGACAGACATCATGTTTTGGAGATACCCAATACAACAATAACCCATGACCTGCTCCAATATAACAAATACATCTGTGGTCAGACATTTTCTTTTGCCTTTGCATTTTTAGTCTTTCACATTATCAATTGTATTTTATACTATGTTGTTGCTTCAATAATCTTTCGACACATATGTTACCATTTTCAATTAGTTGGCACAGGAAACATAATGTGCTTTCCAGGAAACCTATTGGTCGATTTTGTTGCAGAACAAAGTTACTAAATAATTGATTAATATAAGCTCTCTCACATATATAGTATGTTTATTTTCGGTTCCATTATTGTTTCTCGGATTTTCTTTAAGAATTAATCGGTTGACATGACGTGAGAACTTGATCATGGTACAGTCATATGACTAGTTGCCTTTACACCAGTTGAAATCTGTCGTTAGAAGAAGTCACTTTTGGAGGAGAAATTACTAGAGGACATGGATTGTACATTGAATTCGAGAAGTTCCACGTTGAAGATGATGAACAAGCATAAGCTGGTAATCATTAACTTGAAAACTACACTGATGAGTGGCAGTTACTGGTGGATGTAGAAAAGGAGAAAGGGAAAATGAAAAGATCAATGTTAAAAAGATCAAACATTAGAAAAATATTAAAATATAACCTATCTAAAAACTAAAAAGTACTTTTTTTGACATAGAATTCTGAATTTATTTTATTATAGACAAAGCAAAGGGTCATTATATAAAAGTAGAAAACAAAAGCTGACACCCAATATGAGCAGTGATACTGATAACCCTTGAAGGCTTGATGAATCATTCTCGATAAAGGATCTAAATTTTAGAAGAACTAATAATTTCAATCGGAAGTACAAAAGCTAATAAATGATAATGCCATATATTATGATTGTTGAGTATTATACTGTGTACACTTGGAATTTAGAGATAGATCAAAGATATGAGGTAGGTGTGGCATTCATCTTACACTCAGAGATAAGGACAGACAAAAAATTATCTAATCTCAACTCAACAATCAAAAACTGTCCCGAATAAAAATTATAGTTTGCCTAAACAGAATTTGAATTTAAAGCAATAAAAAAAAACTAAATAAAATGTTTTGAATTTCAAATTGTTTTAATGTTCCTGAAAAATGTTCATTGATAGAACTTAACAAATTTGTTTTGATGTTTGAATAGAACGAACGTCGGAAAGGGATATAAATTATCTACTATTAATGTCAATATTTTTGTTCAATTGATTTAAATCAAGATTCAACAGCATAATAGATTGGTTTCCTCTTCCATAAAATTTTTGAATAAGCATTTCTTCGTTTATTTGTTAATAAAATTAATTATATTAATTTATCTTTGTGAGTAAAACATTTATTCTGAATGTATTTTTAATTTATAAAGGACAATAAATAATTGATACATAAATTTATGAGGGACAAATTTAAATTTTCGTTAAGAAGAATGGTATTATGGCAAACTTTGTCACCCAGTTCACACAAACCACAATCAATCAGTGTCCGATCATAGTACAAAATCTGAATTTCTCTTGTATTTTCTATTCCATAAGGGAAGTGGTTATTTCTTTTAGGCTATAGCTTGTACGAAATGATGAGGTGTAACTTTTCGTCCATATGTAGGCCTTTTTTTCACTATGGGCCTTTAATATATTCGAAAGTGGGTAGGAAATTTTGACTTGGCACAATTCGGCCCAACATGAATGGGCTAGTTTAAAAATATTTAACCAAGATTTGGACCAGTAATGATCAAACAATTTAAAATATATATTTAATAATAATAATAATAAATTAATGTTTAGGATAAGTTTATAACTGTTTCTGCTTGCAGTTGAATTAAGCAATTTTTTAAACGGGATTAAAGTTGGAATGAATATAAAATTTGACATGATTCAATACTTCTTTGCATATCTCCATAAAACATCTCAATAAAGATTAACTTATTATCTCAAATACCCACTATATTTTAAGTGTTTTTTGGAAAAGCTTGAAAAAAAAAAAAAAAAACTCCGCTACATGCATCCTCTCTTAAAATATAGTGGGTATTTGATAAAAAGCAATACGTCATCCTTAGTTTATAGATAATATATCAGTTTGTTTATGTTTTTCTTTTTCTTCTTTTAAATGGTTTATTATTTAATAAACAAAACAGATTTATTTTTCTTCATGTGTTTGTCTAATTAACTTATTTTAAAAAGACTTATTTTTATAAGTAGATTCTATACAGCATTTTAAATAAAAGTTTCGCTAAAAAAATGTTTCGAAAACATTCGATTTTAACTTAAACAACATATGGATTAAATAATATCTTTTAAATCTTACTAATATCTTAAAGATTTTTTTTTTTGAAAAACAAACTCTTCATGGAAATAAAAAAAAATCTAAAATACTTAAATATATTTATTTTAATACTAAAAATTAAAAACAAACAAATATATAAAACAAGCCGAAAGTGGTTTTGAACGGTATGAACACATGTGACCGTTGCTCTGAAGCTGGTCCTTTTTCTGCCTTCGAGAATGGTAGGCCCACCCTCCTGTTTCTCTTGCTTTTTATGTCTTTAAAGGAGTAGGTTTTTTTATTAAATAATAAAATATAAAAATTTGAATAATGAACATTATTTTGAATTTGAACATCAATTTTTGAAATACGTGTATATATAAAGTAAATAAATAATACAAAAGTAAAAGTGATTATGTATAATATCATATATAATGTAAACTATTTATTATTAAAGCAATATTACGATTTTCAAAACGCTTCAACTTTTGATTGGTTTCAAGTCCTTATCTCATTATTACACACCAAACAAGTACAAACAAAAATCCTATGTTTAACTTTACAGCTCCTACTTTAACGACTAGGACACAGTAAACGAACTAAGTTTAAAAAACTGTCTTATATAAATTACTTGTATATTTTTATATTAATTTTCAATAACTAAAATTTGTTTATACATTATTGATTGTATCTTTCATTGTGTAAGAGAATGGAAGTAAAAAAATGGAGAAGTTATGCACAGAGCAGAGGTGCGAGGCCTACGCGAAATAGACCACGATAAACCTCGCCTAAAAATGAAAATTCAATGTTAATTTCTTTTTCAAAATCTATATATAGAACTTTCAATACACTATTTGTACAAGTCAAGGAAGTTTAAAATAAAAAGTTCAATGTAATAAATATTTTTTTAATATTTTATGTAATAAATTGATCAAATTGTTCTTTTTTCTAATTTTAGTCCTTTAACCTAAACACCAAGTGTATATGATATGAATCAAAAAACACCTGTTATGCATAATAGAAAATCAGACACACACACACACTATATATATATATATATATATATATATATATATATATATATATATATATCAGTAACAATATTCGGGATAAATGTGACATACTTTCCTAATGCAGATTTCTCACAGAACAAACGGGAACTTTCACTAATGGTGATCGATAGCAAGAGAGGGAAAGGAAAATTAATGAATGGGATCATGATTTGTAAATTGAACAATATATATATGAAGTTGGTTTATTTTCTATAAATTATTCTAAAATTAAAAGAAGGTTGTAGAGTGTGTGTTTTCTGCTTCCTTTGCCTATGCTTTGTTGCAGTGAAAATCCAAGGCATAGCAGATACATGATTCCCGAGCCATTTTATTTTTGCTAACCGCCTTTCTATCTTGATTTTGTTCCGTCTTTCTTCACCTCTCTCTCTCTCTCTCTCTCTCTCTCTCTCTCTCTCTCTCTCTCTCTCTTGGAGCATTTACCCCCACTTTGCACTTTCCATTTTTTTTCTGGGTTGGTCCTCTTCTCTCTCAAACAGTTCATTCTTTAGTTTTCACCGATTTTGTTAGGGAGATTTACACTATGGCCATGCACTTTCTTCTGCTTCTTTTTGCAGTATATGTTGCTGCAATTGATGAAGGTGAGTAGGAAGTTTTAGTTTTCTGTATAATACTCTTAGTTGTTGTGTTTTCTTTGCAGATGAGTTTTTTGTCGAGGGATCCAGGTTTTTCCACTATTAATGTTATGTGCATTCTTAAACTCCGTTTCCGTTTGGTATAAACATGAGTTGGCATTGTTCTGTTTGCTCTGGGAAACTACATTTATTTGAACTGCATGGAATACTCTTCAGCCCTTTTTCTTGCTCACTAATGAAAAAACGGATTTTGGACCATTCCTACCTGTATTGAGATGTAGGGGTGGGTTTGTTTGGTGGTAGTGAAAGTTTACCAAGTAACAAGACATTAGTCCAAACATACCTTCACTTCCCTTCCATTTTCACTCCTCACATACCTAGCACAACATCATAAGCCTGGCTGTTAAAATATTTTCTACTCTATTTAACTGGTCTTGATGTTCAAAGACAAGGGCTTTTTGAACTTTGAGCGGCATGGTATAGAGTTGTGAATTAGTCCATTGTTCTTGTTTCTCCCTCTTTAGGCACAAAGCATGAATGTCTCTGTACATGTTTCTTATTTTGACTGAAAGAAGTTCATGTAGCCATTAATGTGGCTGTATTAGATAAATTTGAAAAAAATAAGAAGGTAGATATGATTTTATTAATTGACCTTCTTGAATGGCCATGCGGTCCACCAGTGCTGTTCCAATATATTAAATGTGGTAGGACGTCTTTATAGTCTTTCCGCCCATATTTGGATAAGTGTAGACTCTAGCACTTTTATATGTCAAAGTTATTTTGGAATAAGCGTATTTTATTTTCACCGAGTTAACTATTTGTGAAAAATTCCCACGTCACAATATTTAAATCTTCAAAACAAAGCAAACCAACCATTTTTATTTATACAAGTAGTTGAGCATATTTCATGACAAATAATCAATTACGTTATATTTCCCCCAAAAATCTGGATTGTTTTGAAGAGTAAAATGTGCAAAGAATCTGCTTGCATTCGCTTCTAAACTAGCCTTTGTTTATTTAACCAGTTAACCAGTGATGTCCGAAACTAGCTTAATGGATCTTTATGTTTGTTACTTGCAGAACCATTCCTAGGGGTGAATATTGGAAGAGATCTAACGGATATGCCTCACCCCACTCAAGTAGTAGCACTACTTAAAGCCCAGCAAATTCGACATGTTAGGTTGTATGATGCGGACCAAGCCATGCTCATTGCCCTTGCAAACACAGGAATTCAAGTTGCTGTGTCTGTCCCTAATGAAGAGATCCTTGCAATTGGTCAATCAAATACCACAGCTGCAAAGTGGGTTTCGCATAATGTGATAGCACATTACCCTGCCACTAACATAACATCTATTTGTGTTGGTTCTGAGGTTTTAACTGTCCTCCCTAATGTGGCAAAAGTGCTTGTCAGTGCCCTTAAGTTCATTCATTCAGCCCTTCTGGCATCCAATCTTGATCACCAAATTAAAGTTTCGACACCCCTTTCCTCTTCCATGATCCTTGACTCATTTCCACCTTCGCAAGCCTTCTTCAACCGCTCACTGAATCCAGTCTTGGTTCCAATGCTTCATTTCTTGCAAACCACTGGCTCTTATCTAATGCTCAACATCTACCCTTACTATGACTACATGCAGTCAAATGATGTGATCCCATTGGACTATGCACTCTTCAAACCCCTCCCTCCAAACAAAGAAGCTATTGATTCTAACACCCTTCTTCACTACTCCAACGTGTTTGATGCTGTGATTGATGCAGCATACTTTGCCATGGCTTTTCTCAATTACACTAACATTCCTGTGGTGGTGAGTGAAACAGGCTGGCCCTCAAAAGGTGACTCTAATGAACCAGATGCAACAGTAGAAAATGCCAACACTTACAACAGCAATTTGATCAAGCATGTGCTTAACGTAACTGGAACTCCCAAACACCCTGGAATTGGTGTTAGTACTTACATCTATGAGCTCTACAACGAGGATGCAAAGGCAGGGTCATTGTCTGAGAAGAACTGGGGTTTGTTTGATGCAAATGGGAAACCTATTTATGTTTTACAGTTGACAGAATCAGGAGGAGTGTTGGCAAATGACACCACTAATCAAACTTACTGCGTTGCAAAGGATGGTGCTGATCCTAAGATGTTGCAAGCTGGAATAGATTGGGCATGTGGACCTGGCAAGGTGGATTGCTCCCCTTTGCTGCAGGGAGAACCATGTTATGAACCAGACAATGTGGTTGCTCATGCAAATTATGTTTTTGACACTTATTATCATCAGATGGGAAAGTCTCCTCAGTCTTGTGATTTCAATGACATGGCTACAGTCTCCACCACCAATCCTAGTAAATTACTAATTCCTTTAAGATGATGGTTGATTTGATATGTCAAATTTTAGCCTTTTGTTTCCTCATTTTAATTTTTAGTTTCGGTTTTGGTCCTCAAGGTTTAAAAGGTTTCTAATTTGATGTCTTAAATTTCTAGTAGAACAAATTGTTTATCAGATGTGTCATATTTTACTTTGATAAATTGACGAAAAAACCAATTTGATCTATTTTAGCTGCAAATTTTCTAGAGTTCTATTGCTGATTTCTACTATGGACATTTTGAATGACTGCAGGTCATGGATCCTGTGTGTTCCCAGGAAGGTAAGACATTTGTCATTTGGTTCATTTAGTTTACTATGATGTGTTCGTTTGGGCCATTACGTGTGCTTACAAGAGATTAATGTGTAAACATTGTGCAGTCTTGGCAACAATGGCACCTTCCCTAACGTCACGTTATCATCAATGAATTCCACAAATTCAGATTCTTCTTCCTGCAATCTGCATCGTGGTGAAATGGGAATCAGAAGCCTTCTAATGATGATAGTACTTCTACTATGGGGATTGGTTTTGCCATAAATTTATGTACGAATGAATATGGACTGTTCATTTTAAAGATTAGTCGTAGAAGAGATGATGCTATATGCTATTTCCATTGCATGTTCGTATTCGTCCATGCAATTTTGTACAAGAGGAGTGGTAGCAGCATCTTTCTTCAAGAAATACATTTCTTTTGATACGTAGTTTTTATTATAATTTATTTAAAATTATAGATAAGATTTATTAATTAAGGTTAAAACTCACACAATTACGTGATTTTTAACAAATTTAAAACAAAAATAAAAATGTGACATAAGTATATAAAAATTACATAGTTAATAGTTGTTATTTCTATATACAAATCAGAAAATGATTTTAACTGAGATGGGTGTTTGAATGTCTGTTACTGGTATTCTTGCTGTTTGTTACTTCAACGCCTAGTATTATTGCTATCATTATATTTTGCAGGACATATTAGATACTTTGTTTTTTAAGAGTTATTCCAAAATTTTAATTTAATACAAATCCAGTTTTAAAATATTGGATCAAACAAAATAAAATACATTGGATAAGGAAACTAAAGTAACTCCAATGTCAAATTCAAAAGCACAACAATGTGTTGTTGTTAATGGTTAAAAATAATATGATATTTGTTTATGGTCTAAATAAGTTGTTGTTTGATATAATTAATATAATTTATATATTAAATTACTTAAATATTATGAGTTTTTCTAATTTTGTTCAAAATTTATTATAATTTTAATAAAAGATTATTCACGTTCAATTTTTATATTTAATACCATCTAGAACATTTAAGATAATTTATAAGAATAATAAAAGAACTATAAAAATAAATTATTGAAAAATAAATATGTAGAAAATTAAATAGTATAAAAATAAATCTAATTCATTACTAAGAATAAAACAAAAATTGATAGAGGAAATCAATTCAAGTGGTGATCCAAATCGTAAAAAATTAGGGATGGGAAAACGAGTCGAGCCTAGTGGGCGGCACTGCCAGCCCGCTATAATATGACGGGGTAGGGCGGGCCAGCCCGTGGCCCGCCTAATTAATAAAAAAAATAATTTTTTATTGTAATAAAATTAATTATAAAGATAATATATAAAGTTAAAAATTTTAAAAAGAGAATTAAAAATGTTTCACTATCACGTGAAAATATTCTCCTTACTAAAACACAATATTCTCTTCTTGTTTATCCTAAGCACATATTATTTTTATCCTTATGACTTGAATTAAAGGTGTAAGAATTACTCAACCAAGAATATGTGAAGTTTTATCAAATAAAAAAGATATAGGTATTTGAATTTTTCAATATAAAAAATATAAATTTTATAAGTTTTAATGTTATATATATATTTGTTATTATTTATTTTTATGTAAATTTTATTATTGTTCTAAATTATAATTTCTTAAAACAATGTATTGATTTATATTATTAAATTAAAATAATATATATATATATATATATATATTGAATTATTGACAAACAAATAATAATCTTATTATTAAATTTATTAAAAAAATTTATTTTAAAAAATATTTTTTTTAAATTATGGTGGGTCGACCACTAACCCGCCCCTGGCAGGGCAGGCCAAAATGGGTCGGACCGACCCGTTTTGCCATCTCTATAAAAAACTCTATTGAAAAATGTTTGTTCTCAATTCACAACGTTTTTGATAATGTAAATTGTACAATTTGATAATCATTTCAATTACCTTTATTTTATCTTATATAGATTGTTTTTTTTTATCGCTAAAACAACCATGAAAATAATAAAAAATAAAAATTACAAATTAAAATATTTCAAACGGTTATTCTCTTACAACTATTTCACCTTGTTGATACACGTTCACTTGTAACTTTCATATTTTACGAAACTTGTTTCTTAACCACCTTTATCAATCTTTCGATATACAACTAAAAAATTCTTCCCTATAACTTCCTCTCGATATATCCATGTCCACCTTTTTTACTATTTAAATCTTTGATTCTTAATTTTTTGATATTTTTCTATTTTAATTTCTCGATTCTCAATTTGTCGTTATTTTGTCTTTTCTCGAAAAACTCAATCCTAACTATTCTTCTACATCGATACATCATTCTCGATTTCTGCCTTCACTATTTCTAACCATTCGATGCCTAATCAAACTCGATTTATTTTTTTGATCTTTTTGTAATTTTTAGACTTAATAAAATGCCCCCTAAGAGAATACTTCTATGAATCCTCGATGAGTACATATATTCTCTTATCTTCTATACCAACTTCAAATATTTAATATTTACTTTATCAAAAAGTTGTTTTCTTATTGCATGTTTTCATTATTACTTTCATTCCCCTCATAAATGCAAAATTCTCGTAATAAATGCGACCGTTTATACTGTCACTCCTTCATTTGTCATTGGTCCAATTTTTATCCAAAAATATTTTATTTATTTGGATATAGGCCTACACCAAGCCCATTATCACTAGACTTCCCAGGAAAATATCTTTTCTTTCAAAACAACCAAATTATTCATCTTCCTTATCCTTACTCACTTTCCCACTTCCTAAACTGATTTCTTAAAACCTTCTTTGTTTTCTCATATAATTGGTATCTACGCTTGTACGTTACCTTATATCCTGATTTTCAAATGACTTCATTCCCTACAACTTCTCAAACCGCCATCCAACCAACCTATAACGACTCAGTTGGTGGAACTAAACGGAAAAACTTTTGCATCTGTTTTTGGTGCATTAGAAGAATCTCAAAAGATTTGCTCCATCCAAGTATTAATTCCATACTTCTTTGGTTGTGTCTCACTTTCTTTTGGAGGGCTATTGATCCAAAACTCCGAACATCCTCAAGATTTCCTTAAATCCATCGACGATAACTCCATTCTTCAACAACACCACTTTGAAAAGTTTAGAGCAAACTTTCTTCCTCAAGCATCCAGAGTCTATTGTTCTGGTCCACTCCAAAAGAAGCCCTCCTATATTAAGTGGCTCGATCGAGTCGAAGTCAGTTTCAAACATCATTGGAGAAAAATTTGTATTTATGACTTTCTTTACCTCTCCCGCTTTGATATCAGCTTCTTGGACATGTCAATGTTTCTCCCCATGGTCCAACTCTGGAATAAAAGTCTCAACGCCATCAAACTCCCATGTGGCCCTGTTTCGCCCACCCTACTTATGTATCTGCAATAACGGGTCTTAAACCCGTTAGAGAAAAATGCTATCTTAATGCTTTCGCAGCAGATAAAACTATTTAATAAAAAAATTGATGGAATAGGAAAACATACAACCATTTCCTACAAGAACATTTTATCGATGACCCTTCAGTTGAGGTTTCTAATGAAGAACATGTTGCCTTCCTTATCTACTGTCTATGTACAATGTCTTTTGCCCTTGTTCTATCCAAATATCCTCTTATTACTATAACTTAGCCTTCTTGCTTCATCGAGGAACTCCCAACATATGTTTAGTCAAGTTATTACTTGCTCACATATATGCTGCTTTCGGTGAAGCAGTTGATGATCTTGATCCAATAAACTTGGCGGCAACCTCTCAGGTCCACTATGGTTCATTCAATTATGACTAACAACCCTCTATGAGCCACAATTCCACTGCCCTTTAGTAACATTAATCTTTATTCCTTCTTTTAGTGAGTCCGTCTCTAGAACTTATTCTGAAAGTCAAAGTATTTTTATGGATGAAATCGAAAGAGACTCATTCAACATCTTAGAACTCATGACAACACATGAGGAAGTTTTTGAGACTGCAGCTAGCTCTTCGTCCACTCCTTCACTGAGCTCCGACGTTATGAACTTGGTCAATGAATTTAGATCTTGCATCTATTCCTCATTTCTTAAGACTATCATCTAGACTCCACACAAAAAACAAGAGTTTCAAGAGATCTTACACAAAATTGAAGTCATCTCACTCGAGCAATTTTCTCAAGGTTTCGAAGAAGAAGTCAACACTGTCACAAATTTATTCAATGAAAGTTGAGCTTGAAGGAAAAAATGTCTAGCTCTAGATTCCAAGAATGTTGAAATCGAACTTGCTCATGCTACAAAAATTGAATTACTGAATTCCAACAAATCCAAAATTGAAGAGATGAAGAAAAATTAATCTGAGTTGTCAATCTACTAATCGAGGAACAAGAAAAATGTGCAACACTCAAACAAATATTGTTCGACCTCCAACATCAAATCGAGGCTTTTGAAACGAAGATTTTCGAACTTTCTCATTCCAAATCAACCACTGAAGGAGAATCTTCTAGTCTGCTAGCTGCCTTCAAGGATTTAACGATTAGTCTTCGTGATGACACGATCAAGCTAGCAGATATCAAACATTAGAGAACTTCGATATCAAATGCGTGGGAAACTGTACTTGCCAAATTTAACAAACTTATATCAGAACACAATTCTTAATTTTATTTTGTACCTCAATTTTCCTTATATATATACAATAAGTATATTTTCTCAATTTATCTAGCATTTACCTATACCTGATGAGTTTTATATGATTTTAAATATTTGCCATTGATTGACAATTTTGTTTTACCGTTATAACAATGAACGATAACATAAACATTGTTAGATAATACTTTTGCAACCTCAAAAGGACATTCCCAATTAGGTGACCATTCCCCACAATATTTAGAATTTCGATCCATAGGCAATATCATTTTCCAAACCTAATCACCTTCTTCGAAACTTTTTAATTTAACTCTTTTATTATAAAACTTAGAAATTTGCTTTTTCTGATGTAGTATTTGATCCAAAGCTATTATTCTAACTTTATCTAATTCAAGCAACTCGTCATACATTTTATCCCAATACTCTTGCCTTGATAATTCATTTTGCCTTTGAATCCTTGTTGATAATCTTGATCGGCAAAACAACATCATGTACAAAAACAAACTTATAAGGTGTAGTTTTAATAGAATCTTTTGGAGAAGTCTTATACGCCCATAATACTTAAGACAATGTTTCATGCCAATTCCTAGGTTTATTTCCAATGTGTTTCTTAATC